AATGAAGCTAACAAAAGCCTTCCATGGAGACAAGAAATGGCGTCCGAATTTTATCCACTTCAATAATAAGGTACATGGTGTCTCATTCCCCCTCCCTCCTCTAACGTCTTATATCTGGGATGTAAGTGGACATATAGAATGAAGAATAACTCTAACAGCTCAATAGCTTGGCTAAAAGCTCGTCTTATTGCTCAAGGAAACAGACAATAATATGGGCTCGATTATAGTGAAATATTCAGTCTGGTTGCAAAACTCCAAACCATATGCATACTTTTCACAATTGCGCTATTTCATGGATGGAATGTTCAATAACTGGACGTTACCAATGCTTTTCTACACAGGACACTAGAGGAAACAGTGTACATGCGACAACGAAAGGGCTTCAAGGACACCACACATCCTGAACACGTATGCCTTCTACGTAAAGCTATATACGGTTTAAAACAGGCTCCCCGATAGTGCTACACGACCTTCACAAACTATCTCATCAGCATAGGGTTCAAGCAGAGCAAGGCGGATCATTCACTGCTCACATTTCATCAAGATCAAATTCAAATTTATCTAATTGTCTATGTTGACGACATACTTCTCACCGAAAACAATATGAATGCAATTGCCGAACTTCTTCAAAAACTGCATTAGCGGTTCAACATGAAGTAGCTAGGTCTCGCCAATCATTTTCTTGGCATCAATATTCACTCATCTACAGATAAGTACTTTCTATCACAAACTCAGTACGCTCAATCTATTATTCAACAAATAAATCCGAGCAATTTCAATTCTCTAGCTAATCCTTCGTGCACAAAATTACCCACTCAGATTTCCGAAATAATAGATTTGCCTTAAGTTGAAGATTGGATTTGGTGATTGGTAAATCTGTCTGACCCGAATATATACCGCAAGATAACGGGAGCTCTACAATACTTAACTATCACGCATCCAGACATTGCACATGCTATTAACATATTGTCTCAACCTATGCACGATCCAACTAGTACTCATGCATATCTACTAAAAAGGCTTCAATGCTATATTCAAGGAATGCTCAACTATGATTTACCAATCACCAAATCCAATCTTCAACTTCGCACCTTCCCAGATGCTCATTGGGCTGGAGATCCAATTACCTGAAGATCTACCTCGGGTTATTGCACGTTTCTTGGAGAAACTCTAGTCTCATGGACATTAAAGAAGCAAAGAACTGTCTCAAGATCTTCCACTAAATCGGAGTACCGTGCGTTAGCTACCGCAACAGAGAATACTATATGGATCAAACGTCTGCTATCAGATTTCCTTATAACACACAAGACACCCATAGATCTATTCTGCGACAATACGTCTACGATTGCTCTCACAAACAATCCGGAGTTCCACACTAGAACCAAGCACATAGAAATAGATCAAAGATTCATTCGAGATCATATTCACAACAACAACATCAAACTACTTCCAATCAGCACGACTGAACAAATAGTATACATTCTTACGAAGCCTCTCTCCACTCCTAGATTCAAATTCCTACGATCCAAACTGATGATTACGCAAGAATTCTCAGTTTGTGGAGGACTATTAGAACAGCAAATGAAATAACTTAATTTCTTTATATTCTTGCTGTCCCATAAGAGCTTGACACGTGTAATATCTACAATTTACCATCTATATATATCTCTCATGTATGTCTACTGGATAATAAGATGATTTATACTTTCTTCTCAATCATCTCGGTTCCTGCATCTTCTTCTTCTTCCCGTGCTTCTTGAGACTTCTTTAGATGTTCTTTATTCTCAGTGTGTTAAATGGAGAGCTCAAAGATTTTTTAGCTTCTAATAGTTTTGGGCAAGGATGTCCTCTTTCCAGTTTCCTTTTTGCTATTTTAATGGATTGTTTTTCTTGGATTCATGATGATAGGGTAGGTACAAAGCTCTAATATTCGATGTTCTCTAGTAACTTCCGTGTTAGCCACTTATTATTATATGCAAATAATCTATTGTTTTTCAGTTATATAGTTGCACATTCTATTAATGCTCTAAATTATTATTTTGTCTATCTTCATATTTTCTTGGGTCTAAAATCAAATTTGTCTAAATCTAAAAGGCTTTTATTTTTTCCTACTTCAGTTATTAACCAAAGCTTTAATTGCGATAACATTGGATTTAAACTTGGCTCCATTCTCATTTCCTATTTGAGCATTTCCTTACTGTTGGCTTGGTGGAAGCAGAAATTGGTCTCCATGATCGGCAGACTTCGACTCCCTAAATCTTCTGTTATGAATTATTTATCATATTTTTTTAGAATTAGGGTTTCATCACCTAACGCTATTTCAAGAGAATTAGATCACTTACCTCCAAATTTCTCTTTCAAGGGAATTCTGATAAAAGGCTGCGTATGGATTGTTGGGAAACAAAACGGCTGTTACGAAAGGATAGAAACTGGCCTCTTCTCTATTATCCCTCTTAATTCTATTCATTAAAAAAATCCTTTGGAAGTTAATCTATGAAGAAGTAAACAAGAAACGAAAACAGAGAAGAGGAGAAGCACACGGATCAAAATAAAGAAAAGATTTATTATTCTGTCATCCAAGATACAAGCTAGTAATCCTATATATAGACTAGACAAGGACACTTGAGCCAACCGTAAGGTGACAAGTGTCAAGATATATTTGAATACAATTTATTTAGCTGTAATATCTCACCGCAAATTGATGGGTCGTTGCATGACCGTCAATTTGAGCCTAAGTTGATGAAACCGCGGGGTAGAGAGCGGTTTGGTGAAGATATCTGCAATTTGATCGATAGTACTTATAGGAAGTAGACGGACATTTTGTTGTTGAATATGATCCCGTATGAATTTCTGATCGATCTCGATATGTTTTGTACGGACGTGAAACACCGGATTATTTGCAAGAGCAATAGCTGAGGTGTTGTCACAATGCATATCAGTGGGTTGAGTCGGAGGAAGACCGAATTCTGATAACAAACGTCTGAGCCAAATAACGTCAGAAGCAAGGGCAGCCAAAGAGCGGTACTCAGATTCTGTAGAGGATCGGGCAACTGTATGTTGCTTTTTGACGGTCCAAGATATCAGAGTGTTGCCAAGAAAAGAACAAAAACCAGATGTTGATTTTCGAGTGTGCGGATCACCAGCCCAATCAGCATCTGAAAAAGAAGAAAGATCAAGATTAGATTTTGTAATCGGTATTCCGTAATCGATGGTACCTTTGATGTAGCGAAGTAATCGTTTCAATAGATAGACGTGCTCGGGATTTGGATCATGCATATGCTGTGATAATTGATTTATGCTGAATGCAATGTCTGGCCGAGTGAGGGTCAAGTACTGAAGAGACCCAGTTATGCGTCTGTACATGGACGGGTCGGAGAGTATTGGGTCAGGCAGCAGTTCTGGAGGAAGTTTCGTAACAGTTGGATTGGCAAGAGCTTTACACTCCAGCATTTGAGCCTGTTGAAGAATGGATGCGACATACAGTTCCTGAGATAGGAAATATTGATCTGGTAAGCGATCAATATGAATACCGAGAAAATCATTTACAGATCCTAGTTGCTTCATGTCAAAGCGTCGGCTCAGGTTGTGAATAACGGTGGATATAACTGAACTGTCATTACCTGTAACCAATATATCATCAACGTAAATAAGAAGAAAAATTTTAACAGTTTTGTTCATAAAGATTAGTAAAGAAGGGTCGGCATTGCTTTAAGTGAACCCTAGTAAGAGCAGATATTGAGTGAACGTGTTGTACCATTGTCGAGGAGCTTGTTTTAAGCCATAAATGGCTTTATGAAGTTGACATACGTATTCAGATTTTGTGTTATCCTCAAACCGTTTTGGTTGCCGCATATACACCGTTTCATTCAGATTGCCGTGCAGAAAGGCATTGGCAACATCTAGCTGCTGTACAGGCCAATTATAATGAATAGCAATAGCAAGAAGAATACGAATAGTAGGTAACTTGGCAATAGGACTAAACATTTCTGTGTAATCAACGCCAAACTCTTGGTGATTACCGAGAGCAACTAAGCGAGCCTTGTGTTTAGCCACCGTTCCATCTGAGTGATATTTCGTTCGATACGTCCACTTGCAGCCAAGGACGGATGCCGTTGGAGGTGGTGGGACAAGACTCCATGTACCTTGACATTGTAAAGCTAGGAACTCAGCAGCCATAGCCTTCCGCCATTCTGGTTGTTTGGAAGCTTCAGCATAGCTGGTAGGAGTATTTTGTAGAGACTTGGTAGTGAGAGTGTGAGAGAGATTTAAACGGTTTATGGGTTTGAGAGAACCAGTTTTATTGCGAGTTATCATAGGATGAGGTTGAGGTGCAGGTTTGGGTATAGCCGGAGGATGTAAATCAGGAGTATGAGTATGCGGTGAGAAATTAGAAGGCTGAGAAGAGGTCGTTGAGACAGGCGGCGTAACAGAAGTAACAGAGCTGTTGTGAGAAGTATTATGAGCCGAAACAGGTATGAGAAGAAATTCAGATAAGTGGTTAGCAGAAGCAACATCTTGATTGCTAGTATTGATTGCAAAAGGAAAAACAGTCTCATGAAAAAGAACGTGACGCGAGACAGTAACTCTATGTGTGATCTTGTTAAGACATTTGTAGCCTTTGTGGCGATCGGAATATCCCAAGAACACAGACAGATTGGCTTTAGGTTGTAATTTGTGTCGAGAATGCGGAGGAGCGAGAGGGTAGCAAGCACACCCAAAAACACGAAGATGATCATA